CCCCAAAACCCCAAAACCCCACTTTATTAGTTATAGAGATTTATAATAATGTCAGAAATTAAATTTAACTTTTATTTAGCAGAATAAGATATAAAATCAAGCCTATGGAAGTGAATTCTGATATCAATTTAGATTGTCCTACTCCTTTGTATTAACTAAGTATTGAATAGAAAGTTAACCTCAAAACAAAGAAAAGGTTAATTGAGTAGAAACTCAGAAAAACAAGTCTCTGTAACTTATATTTTAGACAGAGATGCTTAAACTTTACCAAAAAATGTCAAAATGCACATGGTCTAAGTGAGTTAGTAAGAATGAATTCAGATGAGCTACTTTAACTTTAAAAAGATCTATTTAATATCAATGTATTGCTGAATGAAATGAAGTTTCAGGTGCTACAAAATGTCAAACAAGAAAGAATAGAATATAATAAAGTCATTGAACTAAAAAAATTGAAGAGTTAAATGGTATTCGAGAAAGTTGAGATAAACACAACTGGTAATAATTCTATGAAGTAAGAAGATGAAGAAGAAGTTTTAGAGGGGTGAAAACATGAGGAAAACTAAAATGATCTAATGATAGTATAAAAAAGTATCTCAAACTCTAACCCAGTAGAATGCAAATATGTGAAATGGATTTTTAATAAGCAAGACTTGCTTAAGTTTGATATGATATTACTTTAATAGATACATGAAAGAATGAAACAAGCTAAAAGTAAGCAAAGAACCACATCAGAATTAGAAATTCTAAGACCATGGTAGAATAAGTTGATGATATCTTTTCTAGCAAAATTATTCAAGGAATCTTAACATGAATATTTGCTTAAGTCCACTGTAGTTAGGAAATACAACGAAGCAGGAGTACCTTTTATATAGCCAAGAATTGCATAGCATAAAACTTACTATGAAAAGAAGAATAATTATCCTCCGTGGGCACTTTCATAAAAGGTAGAGATTTGGCTACCTTTTCTTGACTAGGAGAGTTTTTTAAAAAGAGTTGAATCATAAATTTCCTTAATAATTCAAGCGAAAATTGATAGGCTACTTGAAAAATTCAAATTACCAATCATGTAAGTTGACATTCAAAAAGATTATAATCTCTAATTATAAATCTTAGATCCCCCTCTCCATGTAGTTACTAGATGTCTAAAAGTTGATATGGACACATTTTTTAATAAAGTATTAGAAATTAGAGGCAATATTAGAAATGAAGTAGCAAGATATTTATGCGAGAAATACATTGAAAAAGATTGGGCAAAGATCCTACTAATTAAAATTCAGGATGTTGATCTTAATCTGATCATGCTTTAATCGCATTAATCTTTGATAATTAGAGAATCTATAATTAGAGATTTAGACAAAAATATAGTAATAAACACTATTTGCGAGCCAGGACAACTATATGGCTATTTAGCTGCGAAGTACCTAAATTCCATTAAAAATAACGAAGTATTCGATAAAATTATAACTGAATGCTACATAAAATATGGATACAAACTTATTAAAATTGGTTCTGGAACCTTCATTATTTGTCCAAACAAATATATATCTATAAATTCTGATTAAAATCCTGAAGTTAATAAAAAATGCACTGATGAATCTAATAAAGAAGCAAAATATTTTGAATATAAAATGGTACATTGCTCACTTTGTAATGAAGAGTAACCAAATTCTTAAATTTTAGAATAGATGCTAAATTCAGCTTATAGAGTTATTGGTGAAAATGAGACTTTAACCTATTATGAAAATGAGAGAATTTTAATAGTCAATAATTATGCTTCACTAGCTCTAAGTTTAAAGAAAATGTCTGAGTAGGCATCATTAGGAGTAGATCTTGAAGGGAGATTGAGAGTTGGTGGATACATAAATTTAATTTAGATTGCATGTGAGGATGCTATTTTCATTTTTGATATTCATCAAATAACCTCGATCTAAAATGATAAAAATCTACTCTAACTTACCATCTAGGTGTTGAAATGTATATTTCTTAATCCGAGTATTAGAAAGGTCTTCTTTGATGGAAAGAGAGATTTAGAAGCTCTGCATTTTATTATTGGAGTAGGTATAAGAAATTTTTATGATGCATAAGCAATTCATATGACTTTGTTTCAACTCATGGAAATGCATAAAAATCAAAAGCTATTTGAATTAAAATATGTTGCAACCCCTGGATTGAACGATGTACTTAGTAAATATAAAGTTAGTCATGGATTAAACTCATTGAAGGAGTAGTTCAAGAAATTATTTGATAACAGAATTGATAGCAAAAAATACCTTTATGCACGACCAATTGATCCAGATTTCGCCAGTTACTCAGCTTAAGATGTTGAAAATCTTAGTGAATTAGCTGACATAATAGATGTCAAGTTAGGTGAGGTCCTTGACAAAAATGTGGATCCTAACTTTAGAAAAAAATTAGTCACTCAATTAAGCAATACATACACCAGCTAATCATGTGGCTAATAAATAGAGATAGAATAAAAGTAAAATGGTCCAAAATGATGAATAAAGTTAATATATTAACTTTTTTAATCATTCTTATCAACCTAATAAAAAAAAAGGTTACAATTTTATTTTAACATTCAGTATAGTATTTGTGAATTTTTACATTTCCTATTTTGATATGTTTATGAAAAGATGGGGTTTTGGGGTTTTGGGGTTTTGGGG